AGGAGGGAAGGGAACGCCAGTTAAATTTTCCCTGGTCTGTAGAAGGTGCTGATGACATCTTCCTTTTGTCCCCACTTTAGCCGTTTAATTTACACTGGGGAAACCCAGAACCGAAAACCCTGGAAAAATGCTCAGCAGCCTGGGCTGGCATTGTTGGCATTTACATCCCAATGATCTTGCTTTTGCAAGGAACCCAGGGCAGCTTGCAAGATTCTCCTCCTCTCCATTTGAACCTCATGACAACAACCCTGTGAGGTAGGCGACTTGGCCAAAGTCATCCTGTGAGCTTCACGGCCAACTAGAGACTAGCACTCAGATAACCCAAGTCCCCATTTGAGAGCTGTTAAACTGCCTAGAGTCTTTCTCCAAATAAATACTTTTTTAAAGCCAACTCTCCCAATGAAGTTCCCCAAACTCACACTTCACCAGAACAATCCAAAGCCCAAAAGTTCTGGTTCCTCCACCTTTCCCCTTTTCTTTTCTTCTGCCTCACCCTCCCAAAAACCATTTGCCTCTATTCCTTTCATAGGGGTGCATTCTTGATTAGCATTAGTACTTGGTAGAACAGAGGATTTGGGGGGGGGATTGATATAGTACATCCCCCCCAGCTGTTTATAACAATAATTTTTAACAAGGTCTCCGTAGCTTGACAAAGCTAACACTGTTCAAGATGGATTCATTGACCTCTTAGACCCAAAATTTTCATACTGAAGTAAAATATATGAACTCTGAAACTATGAATTGATGCCCAAGTTTCCTGGTTTCCACCTTCCACCCAAGTTCTTTTTCTTCTGTCTTGTGCCTTTTGGATTATAAGCTTGAGAGCAGGGACCATCCCACTATGCATCTTTGAAAGCTGCCCAACAGCCTTTCCTGGCTGAAAAGACAGGTGAAAAAAAACCTGCAAAACCAATAATAAGCAGATCCAAGCAGAGCCATCTCTGCCCGAGTTTCTTGCAAGCCCCAAGCTGCCTCTTCCCAACCAGCTCGCGTGACGGGCAAAAACATTGATGGCAAAGATTCTCATGAAAAAGACTCGAATAAATGCTACAGCCTGGAGACAGGCATCTCATCCAAACAGGGTAGACCCTTTGTTGTTAGTTTTTGCAGCAATCAGAGGGTGAAGAGAAATTTAGACCTGTTCCACATCTCACCAAGAGTCCTACATTCAAAAGTTCCACTGTAATAGAATTACAAGGGCTGCAGTTGTGCTTACAGTGGCACCAAGCAAAAAGGAATCCAATACAGAGTGAAAATCTAATACTTTTTCTCACTCAGCCCCAAGGATTTCATTCTGTCAGCACTGATTCCCACCAACTCAGTCTGTCTCAAATCAAGCCAGGAAACAGTGTCCCATTACTAAAACAGGCCACAATTCGCATAAGAACGGCATAAATTTGCACCAATTGCAGAGTGGAGGTGCGAGTTTTGCACAAATCTGAAATTAACTATCAGAATATTCAAAGAAGCGTGTGTGCAAGTGTAATGTCATATTCAGTGGTAATAATAACAGCAAGAACAAGTTGGCTGAGGTTTGCAAAATTTACACAGTTTGCAGACTGTACTAAAGCTACTTCTCTGCTCCAAATTTGCACAAATATTTCCAGCTGTTTAACAGGAGCCAAAAACAAAAACCCAATTCTGTCCTCCATTGGCCCATCAAGTTGGTTATGCATTATAAGCCCATCAAGAACAACAGGAATCACCCTAGCAGTACACAGGAGGGATCTGCCCATCTGCCACTGATGCTAGGAAGAATACATGGCTTCTCCTCAGGAGCAGGGGAAGTAAAGGAAAAAGGAGGGCCCTGGTATCGTAGGTGACACAAGAAAGCACACGGGCAGGCCATGTCATCTGTCAGGCAAAAAACTGGACAAAGATCCGGGCCTAAGACACAGCTGAGAGGCCATAATTGGTAGCTGGAGATAAAAGGTTTCGAAACCACACGGGGGGGGGGGGGCCTTGTAAGTAATGGAGACCCCCTTGGAATTAACAAACCAAAGAGCTAGCCAAGGTGGATGGGGAAACGCAGGACCTTTGGGGAGAAAACATGTCCGGCCAAACAGTACTTAACACCAGCCTGACCCTGAGGATGCCGCTTCAAACTGCAGGCAGCTGAGATGCCTTGGCCAAGCGAATGGGCCAGAGGACTTGGATCACCATCTGCAGCGTCAAAGGAAGATGAGACGATACAGCCCGCGTATTAATACACAACCGCTGGGTCTGAGAGTACACACACTGCAATTAGCTTGTTTGGACTGGCAAACTCACTCGTTCCCAAGAAGCAGCGGAGCAGCAAGACTTAGGAGTGACAAGGGGTCGTGTGCACATGCTGTGAAAGCCCCTCCAGTAATGACGAGCACACGATCCAGTCAGCAGCAGCCAACGAAACGGAATCGCTGGACCAGACACTACCGGGTATTGGCGAAAGGGAGGAGCCAACCAAAAGCAGTATCTGAGTGTCAGGGCTTCACGTTAAGCTGAAATGTAATATAATGGGGTTGTTAAAAATGCATTTGGAGTAGTGAGAGACGGTGGGGAGAGAAATAATGAACAGCACTTAGCACTCAACTGAAAAATGAATATGATCACACACCCACAACCATTCGGCCTCCACTGCTAGCATGTCATTAAACCCTCAACTGCAGCACGGCAGAGAGGTTGGGACGACAACGTAGAAAGAAATATATTTTTAAGATCGCTCTGGTCTGGCAAACAGAACAGGTGGAACAGTTTGGCATTTCTGAACTCTCCAATACAGATGTTTGAAATGCCAACCACTGGACCGCACACCTACAACCAACTGCTGCAAAATCATCAAAAGCCACGCAGATGACACAGCGGGTTTTCTGGAGCAACCAACGTCCCTCAGAAAAAGTTTCCCACGGGCTTTGAATGTGACCACATTCGGCTTGAGAAGCTGTTACCTAAATAGATTAAAGATTTCCGGACATTCTGAAGCCGACAGGACCAAAAAGGTTATCTTGCACCCTTCATCCTGAGTTTTAGAGACAAGTGAAATCATGCAATGTCATGCCACCAAAACTTGACACTATGTGGTCCTTTAACATAAATAGAACTGAATCAGAGTTAAAAGATAAACATAAAATGGCAACGTTATTCTTAATGTTCAACATTCTTCCAGTTTACTGCAACAAAAACCAATATAGCCGGTATCCCGGACTGAAACACAAACAAGAGAGTGCAACCGACGGCTCTGCCGATGTTTCAGCTTGCAGGTTCCCCATTTCCTGCATGAAAAGCACCCTTTCTACCCCGTTTTCTTACCGTGCAGAAAACAGGGTAAAAAGAGGAACTTTCCATCCTCTATCCTCCTCCCACACAGCTGGAAAGTGTGTCACCAAAGTTTGCCATTTTGGCCAAGCCAACAGCTGGGTGACATTATGTTCTGTCTGAACCATGGTTTCGCCTTGAACTGTTGCAAACAAAACTGGTATCACTGACTAGGAGCTTGTCAGTTCCGGCAAATCAGTTCCAGTTAAGCGTGCCAGAGCGGTTAACTTTCAGGTGGTTAACTCCACTGAACCATCCTGGCTCATTCACTTCACGCTGACCAATGGATTACGCTCTGAATCTCGTGATTTAAAAGGGGCAGTTGTTCAGCTGAGAGAAAAATACTGTTGTGCAACTAGGTGTATTTGTGGCATATCTAGCTTGTACATTTCAAGACAACACAATTCTGCTTTCCTAACCCAAGACGTGATTCAGGTTTTTCTCAAAATCCACCTACATGGATGTGCGAAATCCAATTCTACCTCCCAGATACCGGTTTTTTAACCCCCATGGCTGCTGCTGACTCATGTAAGTCGAACAAACTCGCGGTCCATGGAAGTCCGCAATTTGCACATTTGTGACCCACTAAGAACAGCCACACGAACAAGCGTGCAAAAGACTTTGTGGCTCCAGCATGAGTCACACAATTTGACAGATGCTTGCAAATTACAATTTATGCAATTTTTAGCACAGAATGTGCTAGCACCATGTTCTGCATAAATTTCATCAGCGGTTTAGAAAAGTACAATTGTAATCCATCTTCGAGAACTCCACAAAAAAAGCCAAGTCTGTCCACTGCTCATCAACGGATTAGAAACAGGCAGGAAATCCGTCAAGCCAGATTGCTGTGTTCTGATACATCCTCACTGTCTGTCTGTCAAGTTCTTATTTACCTTCTCATCATATGCGCCACCCGATACTAACAGCCTTACCACTGTCACATACGCAGAGGTTCTCTATTCCTCGTCCACTCTCCTCAGATTGCGTTATTACGCATATATACATGCAAATATGTTCTACTTAAACCAGGATACCCAGAAACGGCTGTGTTACTACAAACTGAGCCTGAAATCATTATGCCAAGACAAACAGAGTTCTCCATCTGTACAGACAGCACAACGCAAATGCTGCATACAAGAAAATAGCAGCCAAGTCTGTGCCAAGGATAAAATAGCACGTCTGTTATGTAATTTTACCAGACTCTTTGGTTACACTAAACTCTAGGCTGCGTACTTGCTCCCTGCCAAGAATCTACTCAACATTTGGGTTTTCCAGCTACAACTGCAGTTGAAGTAAACCAATAGGCAACTGTGCATGTTTGCAGACTTTCAGACTTGATATTAAACATTGATTCATCTAATGTAGTTTTCTATATAAGCAGCACATCCATCCCAGAAATATAGATAAGAGCCTGGCTCGTTCATAAACCTAAACACAGGCTGGGTAAAAAGCCCCAGAAAAAAGGCAACTTACCTTTTTCAGGTCAAGTTCCTGAATATAAGGTGTGGTCGAGGGGCTAGCAGAAACAGCCCTTCGGGTTAAAGCTGCAAAATGCTGGATAAAAATTCTCAAGCAACCTTCCTGAGCCAGCTCTGGCTTGCAGAAATCCCAGCTAATATTGAGTTCTTCATTCTCTCCCCCCTATCAAGCCCAGCTGAGACTCCCCTGCTTGGACGGCTCTCACGGTTTGTTCGGGGGGCACTTACTTGGACAGTCAATCTCATCACTCTCATCCTCACAGGTGGGCCATCCATCACACTGCCAGTTCAATGGGATGCACTGGATGGAGCCACTGCGGCAGGTAAATTGCCCTGGGATGCAGCGCAGCTCTGCAAGAAACAAGGAGAAGATTGCTGAAGACTGCAGACTGAACGGTACCTAAAAGAGGCCTCTCCTTGGAAACCCAGGTCTCCCAGAACTGGTAGGAGTCCAAATTGTATCCCTGCTAATGTATGTGATGCCTAAGAGGAAAACGGCACTTCGGTCTTGATGCGACACCACTAGGATAAAAGTTTATCCATTTTTTTGTTTTTCAAATATAGTTGGAAAAACCGGTGTAGCTCCTCCTCAAACAGATATTAAAATTACCCCGGACAGTTTTAGTAGCTTTTCCCAAACACCATGTTCATGGGAACAAATATATATGGCACATGACTAAGAGACAAAGCTCTGGTTGAAGATATTGTAAAATTGGCCTACTGCATATGAAGCACCTTGAACATTCAATCACACACCTGTGATTACTACCTGCAGTAATACGAGCCAAGGTGGTGTGATTAGAACTGGACTGGGGAGATCAGGGTTTAGAAACCTACTCAGGGAGTCACAAGCGTGCACACACTGGCTCACCTACCTCACAGGGTTGTTGTGAGAATAAAATCAAGAACCCACTCACGTGCTCTAAAGCTCCTTGGAGAAGGAGCAGCAGCATCGAAATGCAATCAGTACCTGGTGGAAAGAGCCCTCGTTTGTGTTGAAGCAAGACTCAGAGGGAAAATGCGGCTCCTGGTTTTTCCTCCACAGAAATGTTGCTACACGCTCATAATGAAAATATTCCACAGCAGGGCTTGGGTTGTGGGGAGCTGAGATTGCCCGTTTAAGAACTGCGTGTTTAGGCTAGCACAAAGCCTGAAGTGCTTTTCTAGCCCTGTGTTAATGCACGTACCGCACAACACACACTCAGCGAAATCTTAACCGCGTTTATTTAGAACAAAGCCCAGTGCCTTTCCACAGGCATATCTTGCGTGAAGAACACACAGAACATCAGTCTGCAAAAGCGACTTATCTGCGACTCTGTAAATGTGTGCAGAAGTTGTGCAGTTTGCGAGTGCTTTCTAAGAGGAAACTATCTGAAGCCACACCCTTTGCAGAGAAAAAAATAAAAAGCTTGCCAAGCATTATAGAAGGGATTTTCCAAGCAAGGCAAAGGGAGCAAACAGTTCTAAATTAAATACGGAAAATCAAACAGAGGTCAACAGAATGCTACAGGCTGGAGGTCCAGAGGACAAACTGCAGAAAGGAGATTGATTTTTCAGAAGTGTGGCCTTCTCCCAAAGAAGAAACAACCTCACCTTTTCCCCAAAAAAGGGGGGAAAACCACACAGCTAATCTTGCACAGAGAAGCCTAATCTTGAATGGAATGGCGATGCACCGCAGTGAGGAAGTGAAAGCAGTCACATGCCTGCCCTCTCTTCTTGAGGTTCTCACTTGAAATCAGACACGGATAGGACAGCCCTTTCAGGACAGGGTGCCCTGAAAAAAGGGCACCCTGTTTGCCTTCCTGCTTCCTACTCTACGTCACCGGGGCGCCTCTAGTCCAGGGTTCCGCGAACATGGCAGCCAAGCAATTGCCACACATTTAGTCCAGCAGTTCCTTTAGGGATCAATACAAACTGGGCTTGCACTACACCAGCCATGAGTCAAGGCAAGATAAGGACAGCCAAACATTTTAAAAAAACCCTCTCCATGCACATATAGCTGCACTCAGCACATGATCTTGGGGTGCACAAGGATCTCTATGGAACAGGTGTGCGCACTGTTCACTAGTCTCTCTCCATGCATCCAGTGAGAGGCATCCATGTGCCCAAACTTATTTCTGAATGCAAACTACGGAACTAGAGCGTCTCACCTCGTTCTCTAAAGCCATGACGACAGGAGTAAATGATGTGACATATACTATTCTCGAGGCTGGATCCAGACTAAGTTTGTTCTAGTGCCACTGAAATCAACAGGAATTCAGTTAGTCATAAGTCAAAGTGACTCAGCCTGGATGCAGCCCTGGATGCTGAGAGAGTTAACACTTTCAGAAATTCCAAGTGCATGTGTTAACTTTGCTCCCAAAACACACGACTTGTGATTTCAGTGGCTGCTGCAGTACAGCCTGAGCCAGGAAGTGAAGTTCCAGCCATGACACACGTGAGGCGACATCCTTCAAGCTAACCAAACTCAGCCTGTTTCTGTGCAGATCAGAGGGGAGGGCAATGAGAAGACCTTGCTCTGGTCTTGAGCTCTTTGGAAGACAGGCAGAATATGGAGCCTTAATCTACTAAAACAAACAATATGCATTTAATTTAAAAATAAAACGCTTTCCATATATAACCATAGTGGGCATACACTCCTCCGCATGCAATTTTGTGTCAGCTCTTGCAAGCAGCTGAGTTCTTAAGCAAGGGAATGCTTCATTACATGCATTCTGAAAGCATTTAAATCAGGCTGTCCTTAGTAGCGAGCCAGATGGACAGAGCCGAAAGGCAGGCATGATTGCTAGTTTTCCCATTAACAAATATTGGAAATGACTCCAAAGCAGGCAGAATGGCTTAATAAAGCAACGCCTGGAATGTATAGAATCAACGGGGCTGCTGACATCGATGTCAAATTATCAGGATACAATATGAGCCCAGAGACTTGTAATTTATTCTGAAAGAAGCTCATGATGCTTTGTTTTAACCTAGACTATGAACATGTAAAAACAGAACTCAGTGCAGTTAACTATTGAGTATTCTTAACTGGTCTATCTGTCTAACTGCAAAAGAGACACACATAATCAACATTATTTCTGTAATGTTGGTTAATGCAGGAATAAAAAGAAATGCTGAGAAAACAAAGGCCAGGACTGCAAAAAGGTAGTTTCTGCAGTCAGCCTTTGGTGGCCATCCAGGAGAGCCACTGCTTTCATTAAACTTGCCAAGACCATGGCTCACAGCAAAGCACTGAAGGCTTATCTCATTACAGTTCACATCAATTAAAGCTTGTGGGACCAGCACTGTTACCCTTCTCCAAAGCGCACTGTGAGTTTCCTAAGAAGGAATTGATCAAATACAGATTCATGCCAATCAGTGAGGTGCTGCTTAAGCGTACAGTGTTCTTGTTCTAGTCACATGCAATCCTTGCCCTGTGGCAACAGGGGATTTTTTTTTTTTTTTAATTACAGAAGGAGCTTTCTAACTGTGGCATCATCTCAGTTCCCCCTTCCCCAAAACTAAAATGAATTTTTAAGTGATTACGCTTCAACGTGATCTGCTGCGGGACAGAAGAGCCCTCGCAAAATCCCCAGATGGAACAGGACACACTCAAACTTAAAATCTATACTAAGACATTGTTTCTGTGATATTGCCAAGTGTTTTGTCCTGAGGAGCATCAAAGCTGCTCAAGCTGGAGGAGGGAATTAAAAATAGGCCTATCCTGCTTGACATGCCACCTACTCAGAATGAACATTGAGGTCACGAAGACACTAAGAACTCAGACCTGCTAGACTGCTCTATACAATGACAGATGTTTCCGCGAGGCCCAAACACCTTTGACCCATTTAGGGGCGTGTGCACATGTGTGCTTCTTCCCAAAATGGTCATATTCCTCCCACAATAAAATGAGGTGAGAAATCTCATTCACTTCCATGGGCAAGGAAAAGCCGAAATGCAAAGTTTAGAGAACAGGTTGTTGGTAAATAATGCGCCACAAGTGGGAAGAAAGGCAAATGTTATGGACCACCACCACTTACGTCAGACAATGTCCAATCCACGCTGAAAGTCTATCATCATCACTTCCAGGGGGATTTGAAATAACTTCTAAATGAGGGCACTTTGATGTTTATTAAATTCATAGCTATTCACCCCCGTATTCCTTGTAACGTACGGCAGGGCCTAAAACGATGGATACCAAAAGTTCCAACTATGAAAGTGGGAAGTGTCTATTTAACTCTGCCACTCTGGTACAGTCCTCCAAGTCGGTTGCTACCCCTTTTTTGCCCAAGCCTTCCAGCCTCACAAAACCCACGTCTCCCTCCTTGCACCCAAGGGCCAACGGAAAGGAAACTGAGATTTACTTAGAACACCAGGCAATCTGCAGTTTATTTTATGTTAATTCTGGAGCCTAACACAAGGAACCCACAGCCATTTGGTGGGAAGAATCTGAACCTTTCGGCACTCCTAGCTTTCTTGACATAATGCCCTGAGTAACAGAGAAATTCCATGCCCAGAAAGGTCCTTAACAGCACGAAGTCAGAAATACCCACATCCGAAGGTTCCTGCCATTCCTGCCACCTAGTTTCGTATGTGCAAGTTCTCCCTTAAAACCAAACCCGTTCTGACTTCTAATATCAGCACAGCAGCACTTATCCATGGGGCCCTTCCCCAGAAGTCTCTGGCTATGGCTCCTGCACATCTTTGCCTATCGTATTTCCTCTTGCGCTCATGCCGCATTTCCCTCCCACCCCCATTTGGGCAATCCAAAGCTTTGCCCCTTCATCTCTGAGGGATGATGCAACATAAAGCACCTAATTCCCAGCTCCTATTGACTTGCCTCACAGTTCAGCCTCAAAGCTGCTCGGTCATCATGTCTTAGGTTAAGGACCATAAGCCGGGTTCCATTCCGGTTCCAGGGGCCCTTTTGTGCAGGCTTGGCTTGCCATTAAAATGTTCTCCAGAGCCTATTGTCTCTCCCCACATTATCCCGAGCATCCTACTTTATGTAAACTAGAGCGTGCCACAAAGGGAACTACAAACGAAGCATGTTTTATATTCTGCCCCACTCTATCCCATGGTTCAGGGTGGATATTAAAATGTTTTGTTGTACATGTGTGTACATGGCACACCCATAAACACACATTTTATACGTCTAACAATTTTATAAACCTAAATTTGATTCCTGTACATGCACACAAAGAGAAAGAGAGAGAAGTGTGTAAGATGCAAGCATAAATCTACCCCACGCATTCCCACCTCTGTATCTCAGAGATCATGCCATGAATTTCACCTGTGAAGAGAGACATGACCTGTTTACTGAAACAGAGAAGGCGAGAAAACTCTTCCAGCCATAGCAAGTAATCAAGCTA